TTTATGTATTTGTATTTCGTTTTTTTGTTGTTGTTTGTTTATTTAATTACAAATAATTAATTAATATTGATTTAATTTTAATCGTCAGGTCAAACGATAATGCTTGGTTCCTTTTTGCCAAGTAAAGAATACACGAAAGATTGATTTGTATTTCAGAGATCATAATTTCCTTTCTTTTCTTTCCAATTATATCAACATCCTTGGATAGCAAGAGAGATATCAATACTTGTTTAAATAATTCTATTGAGCATTGCTTGTAATATTGCTGTCAGGCCTATTATATTGTTTCTACTTTAAAACATATAATATATTTACAAAATTCCATAATTTATGTTTAGAATACAAAATGGGATGATATATTGTTATAATCTCTGAGATAAAGTATTTCTTATTTTCGTTGTTTTATTCACATATAAGGGGCCAGAATCACTTATCAAAATGTGGGATACCTAACGTTATATGTAAATGTTCCTGGATGACAAGCTATATATACGCATACAAACATATTCATTGAACAAATAAATCATTGGAAACATATAATACTCTCTATGTACATACAAGCAGTCAATTTTGATTTTGGGTTTTTGTTGTTGCTGTTGGTGTTATTTTCAAGCTAATTTTTATTGTGCTGTGATCAATCGTTTTGATTTAATTTGACTGACTGGAAACAGGCGATTCTGGAATTAATAATTGTATTGATCTATGTGGATTATGGTTGTGACTAGAACAATAAAAAATTTGCATCTGCAATTATTATCTTCAGTTAATAATAAAGGCAGAAAGTTTAGCGATTCGCACAGCTCACCTTGTACACATAATTACATGATGGAACCATACACGTATCTTCTTGGATATTTTTTATACCTTGTACTGTATTCAGAACCTCATTCACGCTCCATACATGATACATTTCACAATTATGCTAAACATATAAACTGTCGAAGAAACTGACGTGTGAAAATATTTGTTTTGGCTGATAGTTTTAATATATGACGTGTGCGCAGATGCCACGGCGAATTCCATTTGCATGCATAGATGTAGAGGGTGTCCTATTTACTGAATCAGCCTTGATTATCAGACGTTAGGTTTGATTTGGTTATATTTTCCATAGTTACAAATTATCAAATCATGTTATGGGATGTTGTTATTATATTGGCATTGTTATTAACACGTTTTCGTTTCGTATTTAAATCACTATGTTGCATCCAGCTTAAAAATGAATGTCTTAAATACAATTACGACTCCAAGGACTCCAACGTGCTGAAGCAGACTCTTAATGTTTGACATTTGTTTTTCAGAAATGCGACTGTCAGATATAATATTCCCTCGAATAATACTGGACCAGTCTGGCTGAAAGGTGTTAGTTGCACTGGAACAGAGACAAATATCGAAGATTGTAGACGTCGAGCTTCTGGTGATAATGTTTGCAGCCATTGGAACGATGTTTACGTTATCTGTCTAGGTATAGGAAAATATATTTACGAGAAAGAAAATATAATTCTGTGCCTAAGGAAACAATTTTCTTTCTTAAATGTTGCAGTATTATGTAATATAAGCCCAGTATACCCGTATAATCGATATAGCCTAAATCAGCCTAGAAAGGAAGCAATGTCAAGACTAGCGTAACACACACCCTCTTCACAACAGCGGATATGCTATGGAAGATTATTGGGATCAAGAAGCATTTGAAATATCTCAATATCAACATAAAACGGAACCACTAATCCAAGGTCCATAACGAGGCTGTGGAAAACTAGGTTTTAATTATCAGTGGTCTTGACGGACAGATATAGCGTTTTACTTTCTATTTCTAATTTGTTATAATTTGACCGTATGTGATGACAAGCTTAGAATTAGGGACGGTCGAGTGCGAGATACAGCCGAGTTTTGTACTACCAGGAAATACACGGCCCAGCCGTGTCTTAACACGAAATGTTTATATTGTTGGGACGCATATGTATGGCAAAAACTCATAGGGACGAGAGAAGGGAATTGTAAAACTGGATAAAAAGGAAGTGGAGAAACCAGACCCCATATCTCGTTTCCTGCCGGATAACAGGAAACGGTACACGGCGCAATTTTACTACCTGTCTCTCCCTATATAGGTTGTAAATTGCCGGCTAGTAGTATCAATCACGTACGATAAAACTAGATTACCCTATTCAAAATAAATGGCTTAATTGTACGCTTCAATAGTCAATGAAAAATCATTGTTCAATTCAAGCCAGAGTGATGATGCTGCAAATACAAAGAAGGCGCATATGCACCACTGAAAAGTACTTCCATGGACATATTGTCATTGTCCCATCCAGCCCAACGTATCTTTGGCTATACTCTATGTAGAAGCGACAACTGAGCAGAAACCATTCCTTGAACCTTTGGTCTCTGAATCAGGCTTAATTCGTATTCATAGCAATAATACATTTTCAGTGTAACAATTGGTCTTCATCATACTCATAAATATAAATTTCGCATGTATCTTTCAGATGCCATAACGCCAATTAATGTGCGACTGGTCAATGGTAGTAACAGGGTTAGTGGTCGCGTTGAAGTAAATATACACGGAGTTTGGGGCACAGTCTGCGACGATGAGTTTACAAATCTAGATGCGATGGTTGTGTGTCGTCAGCTTGGGTTTAATTAGTAAGATATATATTTTCAAGTCTATACAATTATTATTCGAATGGTCAGAGAGAGAGAGAGAGAGAGAGAGAGAGAGAGAGAGAGAGAGAGAGAGAGAGAGAGAGAGAGAGAGAGAGAGAGAGAGAGAGAGAGAGAGAGAGAGAGAGAGAGAGAGAGAGAGAGAGAGAGAGAGAGAGAGAGAGAGAGAGAGAGAGAGAGAGTTGCAACTATTTACAAATTTACACGAAATAGACCGGAAGTGGCATTCCTGGAGCTTGATGGAGATTGCTTAATAATACCTGACATAATATAATACAGATAATACTGGCATACAAGTTAGATAATTTTGTTTCATTTGTACTCTAAGGAAACTGGAATCCAGATCCGCGAATAAACGGTACCATTTGCCTATCCTGCACACACTAATCCATAGTCTATTACGACTAAGCACACATCCACACGAAATGTTAACCTTAAGTTGGTGGTGTATTAACTTGTGCAAAATAGACACAAAACTGACGCAACCTAGTAATTAATTAAACCTGAAATTGATTCATTCTTTTATTCTTCAGCTTAGAGTCCATACATTCTTGAAAACCAAAATAGTTTTCCTTATGAAATCTTGATTGTTGCTTCATGCTGATATCATTGGTTATTTATATCATTTTCTAAAAAGAAAACGCTGTTGAACCGAAAGAATTCTAATGTATGTCTGTCTGTCTCTGTCTCTCTATCTCTCTCTCTCTTTATATATATATATATATATATATATATATATATATATATATATATATATATATGTGTGTGTGTGTGCGTGTGTGGTTGCATCTATGCAGGTAGGTAGGTAAGATGGTAGGTAGGTATGTGTGTGTGTGTGTGTGTGTGTGTGTGTGTGTGTGTGTGCGTGTGTGGTTGCATCTATGCAGGTAGGTAAGATGGTAGGTAGGTAAGTATAATGGTGGTTCATTTTGATACGGGTGTCAAGAACACACGTGTTCTTAACAATAACTTTGCTTCATACTTCCTGAAACCTCGGAATTTGTAATTTTATCTACATCTTATATACTTATTTCCCATCTTTTTCAAATACGAACATATTTAATTACAGTCGGCAGGCTGTATCATGATATTTTACATCTATTATCAAAGTGGTGCCGTTGCAGTAGGAAATGCCCGGTTTGGTCAAGGAATAGGTCCCATACTTCTACAGGATATTGATTGTAAAGGGACAGAATCAACATTGGCTGAATGTGTTTACAAGAGAACCAACAATTGCCATCATTCGGATGATGTTGGTGTCATATGTAATACGGGTAACTTTTCAAACATTGTTGATATCACTTTCTTTAACAAATCATTATTGTAAAAAGTTTAATTAATTAAAATATAGTATGCTTAATTCTAATGTATGCAAATGCAGGTACTGGGTGATTTGAATGTTTGTTTGCTTTCTGTGGATTAATTAATTTAGGTATATAAGAAGCTCGCCAGTAGATTATCGTGGATAGATGGTTCATTTCGGGTTTACCTAGATCCTTCCGTCACCAATTATACTGGCCACTAAGTATAAACTACCTTGTGCTGAAAAATGGCATTAAACCATATAACAACAACATTTTATCCGGTATAGTTTACTCCATTCGCACATTACATGCACCAAGGAGAAATGTCACAACTCTCTGGAGTTAATACAAGCTGTTGCAGAGATTGGACATCAGATCAGTTTGCTTAGTTGTAGGTCTTGATTTAATACTGCAGTACTTTGACGTTGACAGTGTAGTGGTGAACGTCCTCCTCAAACGGTTTAAATCCGGAGGTAAAAGTACCATAACTACAACTCATACTAATCTGTCTCTGCAGTTCACCATGAACAGTCTCCTACATCCGTCTAACATTCGAATTTTGCCACACTCAGAAACAATATTTGTTGAGCATTAATGAAAAATTAATTTTATATTTCAGAATCGTTTGCTTGAATAGCACCCCAACCCTAACAACCCCAGCCCAGAAAATGATACTTCGTAGTAAATTCAGTGCAATCTGACCATTTTGTTCTAGCCGTCCTTCCATGCATATAGTTTATTAAACAGACAGATGACACTGAATCTGCCGTTACAACACCTGTTTCCACAGACCGGATATGTGATGTGATGTGATTCAGACTTTGTAACGTAGTTTTAAAAAATTTTCAGTAATATCGCTACGATGTCTGCGGTGTGATGTGATGTTTAGCACTGGGGCATCATGCCTCATACATGTAGCATGATGTTCCACCCAGTCACATCATCCTGACACAGGCCAACCAGTTATAACACTAACCACTTAATGTTGAGCGCCAAGCGATGCAGCAGTTAGTACAGTTTTCCGTTTGTTTGGTATGACTCTGCCTGGGTTCGAACCCACGACCTCCCGCCTTCGAAGCGGAAGCTCTAACTACTAGGCCATGATCGTTTGGTACACACTCCTTACGGGATGTAGCAGATATAAATATTGAGACAGTAGGAACTTGTCTAGGCTAGCTACTTCAGCTTTTGTTCTGTGTGTTTCTGCTGTTTCTTTGTTCAGTTTATTGTTCTGAAGCTTTCTTAAACCATGTTTGGTCTCAGCACACTATTTAATATATTATTATTATTATTATTATTATTATTATTATTATTATTATTATTATTATTATTATTATTATTATTATTATTAAATTGCATAGGTAGATTGTGCGTCATGGTGCTGAAAAATCAAAATGTTAATTTTATGTAAATATTTTAATGGAACCAATCGCTAAATAAGTTTTAAGTTCTTTGTGTTGACATTTTATTTTGACTTTCTTATTTTGATTGAGTTCGGTAGAAATGGAAATACAAATTTTGAAGTATATTTCTTAAATTGTCAATAAGTTACCTCTCAGTACTTGAAACCATTTTCTTTCATTATGAAAATGTGTTAAGAAAATGTATATTATTATCTTACATGCCTTTTCTTTGCATCTGAAGTTTTGAAGTTTTCAAGGTGTACTAGTTTAAAATCTTCAAATTTAGATTGACTTTTGAGAAATGTATTAAATAATTTGATACGGAAATGAATTCAGAAATTTAGTCAAAATAAATTTATGATATGTACGGCCATATCAGTAGCTTTGTGAAATATACATTTTTAGCGTAATAAAATATTCATTGATTTTATGCAATTTTTTTAGTCTGTTTATCATGCCTTAAAATTCATCGTTTTTAATATTTAACATCTGAGCCGATTTGTTTCTCTTTTCATCAAGTTAAATGCAGTTTGGTTGTAATTTCTGAGAAATAACATTGCTGGTTATTATAATGATTTAAAAAAAAATATTTTCTACAACCACTTTCAACGTTCTATTGCAGACTTCGGTGTACAATGCTACAATTGTGATGGTATTAATGATCCTTCCAAATGCCGGGACACCATCAACTGCAGGTCAATTGAGGTGAAACTAAAAAGTAGAACAAATTGTATTAGGGCACGAAATCGTGGCGCAATTGGTGCATTGTCCAAATTGATTTATATGAAATCTTGCTTAATATTTTATTCCACATTTCAATTTAATAAGTGTAATGTTGTTGGAATCAACTTTCGTAAACAATAAAAGGCATATTTTATACGAGCATGTGAGAACGATTAAGCTACGACGCGCGATTGAAAGCGGATTTATGTATGTTTGTTCACATGCATGTCTGTACTTTTGGATGCATCTTTGTTTGAATGTATATATGGAGGTATATATGAATGGATGTACGCATGTATGGATCCATATTGAATACATGCATATATGCAAATATGACTGACTGAGTATTTATAATCCCTTAACGGGGGTCCCGAGTGGCCGAGTGGTCTAAAGCGCTGTACGTTACGGATCACTGCCATCTCACCTCGGTCTTCGTGAGTTCGAGTCTAAGATTCGGCGAAGGTGGATATGTGAGAAAGCTTTCCAGTAGCTTCTCGTGGGTCGGTGGTTCTTTCCGCGGATTTCCCGGTTTCTTCCTCCACCATTAATTCTGGCCGCCATGGATCGTGTGCTGAAAAATGGCGTTAAGCCCCACAACAACAACAACAACAACAACAACAACAATAATCCCTTAACAAAAGATTCACAACAGACATATCAATTTTTAGAACCTGAGATCCTAATCTGTTTAATAGGATACGGCGGAAAGAACGAATTTAAAACATATTTATCTAACTTGCAGGGTGTAAACCTTGTGGACACTTACAGTGATGTGAACTAAATTACAAATAATCTTGTAAGTCATGTCATAAGTCAAAAATTATAGAATGTTCAGAAGGATTTCCGATAGTCTTCATTGACCTAATATAGAAATACTCTTGAATGTCCTAATATAAGATAATTATACAGTCCAGAATGTTTAAAATTTTTAATACTCTAAAAGTAGTATTTTAGTCATCAACGTCAGTTAACTCTTTACGATGCTAATGAATAATGTAAGCAAGTATAATATAGTTATATCCGAAAAAAATACAAGCTAATCATCGATTCCAATGAAATGGTATTAAAGATGGGTATATAATTGTTCATCAAACCTCAATATATAAAACTCCCTCTAAACCTACAAAACAATATATTTCCAATGGAAACACCAATTGTAGTTGTAAACAAGATTGATCTCGAACTCTGTTTAATATACATCTCGTATACTAACTACCAACTTGACAATTATCGCTGCGACAAATAGTCCAAAATCGTTATTCATAGAAAATAAAACATTAAACGCACAATATAGATATACATATCACACTGCACAATTATACTTGGAACATAAACTGAATGTAACAATGCAAGTAAGTGCGATACAGTGACAGCGTTCATAATTTTGGTGTTTGCGTTCTAAATGCTGCATACATAATTAAAGCTTTGAATATATGCAGAACATAAAGCAAGATGTAAAAGATGCACCAAAAGAGAAGGCAATCTGTGTAATGTAGGACAATATGTTACATGGCTATTCATGGAGTTTTATCATGGCGCGATACTCATATAAAATGATAAACAAATGCATGTACAACAAAAGTGAAATATTTAATGAAATAATAATTTAATCTCTTGTAGAATGCACACAACACTCAAAAGTGAGTTGCAAATAGAAAACATGTTGCAAATATTCCAAAATCTATGTATGTATGTATGTATGTATGTATGTATGTATGTATGTATGTATGTATGTATGTATGTATGTATGTATGTATGTATGTATGTATGTATGTGTGTATGTGTGTGTGTATGTATGTATGTATGTATGTATGTATGTATGTATGTATGTATGTATGTATGTATGTATGTATGTATGTATGTATGTATGTATGTATGTATGTATGTATGTGTTTGCATGTATGTATGTGTGTATGTATGTATATATGTATGTATGTATGTATGTATGTATGTATGTATGTATGTATGTATGTATGTATGTATGTATGTATGTATGTATGTATGTATGTATGTATGTATGTATGTATGTATGTATGTATTGTTACGTATCGGCTCGTTCAAATAACATAAAAGAAAGAGTGAAGACAACAAGCTCTCAAACTTTAACAAAAAAAAATATTTTCCTAGAAAGCATGAAAAAATGTAATTACGTTAAACAAGACTTACGGTTTACAGAAATGATCCAAACTGTTTGTTTAAAATAGAAACACAAGTCCTGTCAAAAGTTCTAAACAAAGTGTGAAGTTCAATTCCGGTCCAAAATGGCGGATGATCACGTCAGACGAAGACTAACAGAAAATTCTAGAATTTACACAATAAAGCACAATTTGTGTTGTTCCGTTCCAATTTAGAATATTTTCGGGAAAATGTCTTTGCCAAAATCGGTACTGTTGTTCTCCAGGAAAACAATTATTCAGAAAAACGAAGTAAAATTAGCTCCTCTAACAAAATATGTTCTACGTAGGCATACGAACAGACAACTTCTTCGAGCATAAAAATGCTTTTTTAAGGTAATAGAAGTTGTGTAAATCTAAGCTGTTACAATAAACTGACTTTACGACTTTACTGCTGTGTATGACACTCGACTACGACTCTCTGTTCATTGCTCTGAACGTCTCACAAAATACCTCGGTATATAAACGAAGCTAATATGTTGTTTGAATTACACTCGCACCAAGACGCATGCAATTTCGTAATAGTTCTGGACATTACGAAAGCCTGACCAAGTATCAGCCAATCGTTTTCGTACCTATTCCTGAATGTTTACTTGTAATGAATTTGTTATCATACACAGCACCTCCTCACATGAGTCCAATTTACGACTCAACTAAAGAGGCCGTTTTTCAACAACATATTAGACTGATATTTATCTAATTATATTAATAATTACATTAAATGAAATATAAAGATTTATATATAATTGATTGCTTAACACACACAATTAATCTACAGGGACGTAACAGTATGTATTCTAACAATGAAAACGTGCTAAAAATGTGTTTTCATATATATATATATATATATATATATATATATATATATATATATATATATATATATATATATATATATATATAAAGAATACAAATCTTATGGCGAATAACAACCCTTTCAAGCGTACTGGATCCACCAAGGGATCACGTGTCAGGGATTAATTAAAATAGATGCTATAAACTGACGAAGAACAGTACGAAACTAGTAACTAACTAGCCTAAGCGCTTTCGACTCTTAATGAGTCTTTTTCAAAGGCAAATACAAACCATATATACAAAAAACAAATAAACACAAAAACGTTGTGTTTGTAAACCTCTACATGGCTGTCTTCACATATGCTAAAACTATATCTACAACCAGCTTGTATAGACTAGATGCGGAAACTGAAAACGTTGTATAATTCCCTAAAAGTCTACAAACCAAATCTTCTTATTATCCTTCAATTTTTACTATAAGAATAACCGGTATAGAATCAAATATCCGGGATATAATCTGCGTTACATATGTACAAAAAGTAAAAATAGATGTCGCTTTGGCTTGTAGACTCACGACCTCATTTTCCAGCCATTGGTCATGAAGCAGATGAGTCAATAAGACTTAATATAGAGCATAACAATTACAATATATTTTGCAGACGAAAACAATGAATAACAAAACGAAAGCTGCCATGTATGAATTACTTACTATACATTGTTATCATTATTCTTTTCTTTCTTGACAGTCTTGTCAAATCTCCATGTACGAGAACAATCATCAGATCTTATATAGCCAGTCTTGTCAGAGTAAACTCGTAAGTGCTGAAACTTTTTTTTGAATGATTTTGCCATTTGTATTCTAAATCGTTTGCAATAATACGAAAACAATGTTCAAAATGTAGTTAGAACATCCTGAAATATGGACATTGCTGATATTCCTTCACGAAAGGTAAACGTTGTTTAATTGTATTCAATTTATTTGGCGAAAAAAAAAAACAATCAAGATCTTTA